GGTATCTCTCATCTCAGCTCATGTGTTCTTTTTATGTAATCTAAGTAACATTTGCTCATTACCTTGCTTTTCTGCATAACAAAATGCTACAGGCTGTGCACTTCCTGCCTCAATTCTGAAATTTATCATTTCCTAAAAGCTGGCTTGGTCCTGTTAGTGGAAAATGGCACTTAGACAATGAAATTGAACAGTAAGGACTCTCAGAGCAATTAAACTGTCATTGTTCCTTGGTCCATTCAGCAGCCACAGCAAAATACATGTATTTTGTAGAATGCAAAAACTTAGTCATGCATGTATACTGACATTGCCATTTTAAATTTCATGTTACAGAGTTTATATCTAAGTTCATTGATTTTTTTTTTTTTTTTTTTTTTGAGACAGAGGCTTACTCTGTTGCTCAGGCTAGGATGTGCCATGGTATCAGCCTAGCTCACAGCAACCTCAAACTCTTGGGCTCAAGTGATTCTCTTGCCTCAGCCTCCCAAGTAGCTGTGACTACAGGCACCCACCACAATGCCCAGCTATTTTTTTCTTTTTAACTATAGTTGTCATTGCTTTGGGAGGCCTGGGCTGAGCTAGAACTTGCCAGCTCTGGGGTATGTGGCTGGCTTTGTAACCGCTGAGCGAGGGTGCCAAGCCAAATTAAAGCCAAATTAAATGAGTTTTAAGGTCAGTTTCTTATTTTTCTATGTGGTTATGCTAGGGACTCAGTATACATTTTATTTCTTTTCTTTTAGGAAATACTTTGTTATTTTCTTATTAAAAATATTATGTAAAACATTTATGTGATTCCAGAGTCACAACTATAAAACACTGTATAAAACAGTATGTACAGAGAAGTCTGGCTTCCACTATTTCCTCACCCTTTTCTTTTTTCTTTTTTTGAGACAGAATCTCAAGCTGTTGCCCTGGGTAGAGTACTGTGGCATCACAGCTCACAGCAACCTCCAACTCTTGGGCTTAAGCGATTCTCTTGTCTCAGCCTCCCAAGTAGATGGCACTACAGGCGCCCGCCACAATGTCCAGCTATTTTTTTGGTTGTAGTTGTCATTGCTGTTTGGCAGGCCCTGGACTGGATTCAAACCAGCCAACTCTGATGTAGCTGCTTGAGCTATAGGTGCCGAGTCCACCCTGTTCTTTTCCTATATGTGACATTTTTTTTGAGACAGAGTCCCGAGCTGTCACCCTGGGTAGAATGCTGTGGCGTCATAGCTCGCAGCAACTTCCAACTCTTGGGCTCAAGCAATATTCTTGCTTCAGTTTTTCTATTTTTTAGTAAAGATGGGGTCTCACTTTTGCTCAGGCTAGTCTTGAACCTGTGAGCTCAAGCTATCCACCCGCCTTGGCTTCCCAGGGTGCTAGGATTACAGGTGTGAGCCACCTTGCCGGGCAAACGTGACCGTTTTTATTAGCTTGCAATTTACTCTCTTGCTCCTTACTTAACATGTAAGCAAATGCACACATTGTTATTTCTCTTTTCCCATCTTTCTTACAAGAAAGGCGACGCATACATGGACTCTGCCCTGCCTTTTTCATTTAACAATATACCCTACAGTTTCATGACAGTTGACAAAGATGGTCCTTTTTCCTCTGTACGGCTGCACAGAACTGTACTGTGTAGATGTACGTGGCTTATTCAGACAGTCCTCTGTGGAGGGACATGTGGGTTCAACAAACATTTATTGCGTGACCAAATTGTGCCAGGCACTGGGGATAAAGACATGGTCTCTGGCTTCAGGAAACTCCAAGTGTGGAGGGGAGATCACTGCAGTACAAGTACTCTGGTCATAAGCAAGTCAGAGCTCGGGTCCTGTTAGCACAAGGGGCACACAGAACAGGGAAGAAATGCTCACACCCAGGAAGGACACAATAGCTGTCTATTGATCAGCATCTTGTTTCCATTAGGGCCTTTGTACAGGAGAGTCCGCTTAGGAGCAAATGGTTGTCAGGGGTTGAAATTACTTAGAAAATCATGAGTGCCACCAATTGGTCAAAGAAGGTAAGCCCCAAGGAAAGAGGCTCTAATGGCAAAATTCCCTTGGAAAGAGGAAATGTCAATAAACCCAGCTGTGGTTTAACAATAAGAGCCAACACCTACATAGAACTTTCCACTGAACCGGGCATTGTTTTAAGCAGTTTACATATATTTCTCATTACAATCCTAAGAGATACTGATTATTACTACCCACATTTTTTTGCAATAAAGAAATAAAGGCTGGGCAGTGCCTGTGGCTCAAAGGAGTAGGGCGCTGGCCTCATATACCAGAGGTGGCGGGTTCAAAACCAGCCCTGGCCAAAAACTGCAAAAAAAAAAAAGAAAAAGAAAAAAAGAAAATTAAAGAAAAGAAAAGAAAGAAAGGCACAGGCTGGGCTGGGCTCAGTAATCACACCTGTAATCCCAGCATTTAGGGAGGTTGAGGCTGTGGCTCAGGGTCGCTTGAGGCCAGGAGTTCAACACCAGCTTGGGTAACATGGTGAGACTCCCAACAACACTTGAGCCCAAGAGTTCCAGACTGCAGTGAGCTATGATCACGCCTGAGTGACAGACTGACACTTGGTCCCTAAGAAAAGAAAGGGGGGGGGGAAGAAAGAGGAAGGAAGGAAAATTAAGGCACCAAGAGGTTACCGAACCTTCTCCAAGGTTATATAACAAAAAAAGAAAAAAGGTGGGCAGGAGGGAGACGTAGGAAATGGGCCAGCTGCAGGTAGTATAACACAGGCGCGTGCCCTCTGCGGGGCGAGGGGGAGGAAAGCATTGTCTGCCAATGTCCTCCTGCACCATAACCACTTTCTATGGAGGACGCAGATTCTCTGCTAGTCACCTCTTCCTAAGTACCTCCTACACACACACACACACACACACACACACACACACACTCCACTAGATGGGAAGACTTCACAGGACTTCCTCTGGACTGTCTGGGGCGCCTGGAGGTAGGAGGAATCCTGAAGCTTGCAGGCGACCTTGCGGGATTCACCGCAAAGATTCAGCCAACGCTAGCAGCAGCTTCCTCCCCACCCCAGGGGTCCCTCTCCAGGCGGTCTCGTTTGACCCAAGTCTCTGGCTGGTGCAGGAAATGACGCTTGTTCTGGTTTTTCTTGTTGTTAACAGTATAAATGCATTTGTTACTCATTCTTCTTTTCTTATCCCGTCTAATTGAAAAAGAAATCATTATAAAGCTGTGCTGATGGTTTCATATTAAGATGTGATTTGCAGGCGCGCGGTGCCCGTAGCACAGTGGTTACCGCGCCAGCCACATACGCTTAGAGTGGCGGGTTCGAATCCAGCCCCGGTGGCCAAACAACAACGGCAACAACAACAAAATAGCCGGGCATTGTGATGGGCACCTGTAGTCCCAGCTACTTGGGAGGCTGAGGCAAGAGAATCGCCCAAGAGTTTGAGGTTGCTGTTTGCTGTGAACTGTGATGCCACATCACTCTACCGACGGCGACATAAGGGGACTTTCTAAAAAAAAAAAAAGATGTGATTTTTATCAATGATAGCACGAAGTTTTTGTGTTTATTATTATTGTTATTCTTTATATTTAGAAAGTTATGGGGATACGAACTTTTTTGTCTGTTTTGCATTTGGCCAGGGCTCGGTTTGAACCCACCGCCTCCAGTATATGGAGCCGGGGACCTACTCCTTTGAGCCACAGGCGCCGCCCGATACGAACGTCTGGTTTACCAAATCCTCGACTCCCATGTCACTTGTGACAGTCCCAAGTTTCCAAGCGTGGCCTGGCACCGATACCAGCCCGTAGGGAACCGAGGGCCCCTCCGATGCAGTGCCTTTTTCAGAGGGTTAACAAGAGACGCCAATGCACCTTGCGACTAACACACACACAGACCCCAGAGTTTGTCCCAAGTACTGCCCGCGGCCGTCCCGAGGAAGTGGCACTCACCCCATGGGAGAACAACCTGTGCAGAACACCACCTTTTAATTTTTTCTCTAATCGCGAGTAAACCCTTAGTTACAAGATAAGAAGCCAGCGCTCACATTGCGCCAAACCCAACACAAAGCCGAACCAACTCTCCTGCACAGTAAACATCCCATTCCGCAAAAGTACTGACCTAGAAACCCACATATCCCTAAACTAACCCTATCCGGTGGCAAACGTCCAGGGTTAAAAAAGATCCTCCAAGTTCATGTCAGACGGGTAATGTACCAAAAGCGTAACAAGATTTGTGGGAGGCACATCTCACGCATCCGCGTGAAAACCCAATCATCACGCTTATGAACTACAAAAGGATCGACAAGCTAACTTTGTCAAGGAGCCTCCAGTGTGTGCCACTAATTTTGCAGAAAGGGTGACTATCATCGTCCATATAGCTTCAGGTTTAACGTATAAAATCCTGTGCACTCAAGAACTTACAATGCTATTCTGTGGTTACTCGTTTGTTCGTGTCTTAGCCAACGAAAACAGAAACAAAATTAGAAATCGGATTGGTTTATATGCAAATATATTCTCCCTGGCTCCACCTCTCCGCCTTTTTTAAGAACCTGGATCTTTATTAGCTTTACGACTATAAGTCGTGAAATGACGGGGCGTTGCGGCGGTATTGGCGGAAGCTGACATTGTGCTTTGCGGCAACAATTTCGCGGGATCCTGATCCTACTCGATGCCGGCGTTTTGTGCAATGGGCTGCCGGTACCCGTCAATTGTCGCGTTCGCGTTATGGCTCAGGGGTGTATTTCTTGAATTTTAAATTTTTTTCTTTTAAGTTTTCAAAAAGGCATTAGTAGTCTCTCCACTTCCCTGTTGCAAGTCTGAGACTTTTGTAAGAAGAGAATCCCTTTTCTCTTTCCCAGATCCCTTCCCTTTCACTCATTTTATTCTTATCCCGATGAAACTCGCCCCATTCTCCAAGACGTCTCTCCGTTGATTTGATTTGATTTGATTTGTTTTTACTTGTGTATGTTCTTTGGGAGAAGTCCGGCCTCTGGTGACTCTTTTTCCCTCTTTGCCGGCTCTGTCCTTGCCTCCTTCCCTGTCCTCTGAGAAAGACCAGCCCTTCGGTGCTGCGATCTGAGGAATGGAACTGGACGGCGCTCGGGAAACCTCAGCGCAGGAAGGCTCTTCCTTGCCTGAAGAGCGATCTCCCTCCGCCCTGGGACAGGCCTTCTCCAAGATTTTGCACCGTCTCACCGGCCGGGATGCACGAGGGGTCAAAGGAAGAGCTGCAGCTCTCCAAGATCTCGGTGCTCTAATAGAACACACGGAATGTGATAGATTATTTGAGGGTGAGCTCCGCGGAATGCCGCAGGTACTGGAGCAGGTGGCGAAAACTCTGGAGACGTACGCAGCCCCACCCAAGGAGGAGGAAGGTAGAGGTGATAGCCACTGTCAAGTGGCTGAGAAAGCAGCAGAAGTTGGGTTACTGTTCCTTAAGCTCTTGGGAAAAATCGAGACTTCCAAGAATTCTCTGGTCTGCCCTGCGCGGAAGACAGGCCTACGTCACTTGGCGGGACCCATCTATATTTTTGCCATCACACACAGCTTGGAGCAACCATGGACCAGCCTAAGATCTCGGGAAGTTGCTAGAGAGGTTCTCACGTTACTGCTTCAAGTTACTGAATGCGGTTCTGTGGCAGAATTCCTACACGGAAAAAATGAAGATGAGAAAGGGAGGTTTACTATGATAATGGGACTTCTTAAACCCAGTTTGAATAAGTAAGTACTCCTTACGGTTTACCACCGACCTGAGGCTCAACCTAATCTTTTAGATTTAGAATGGTAGCGCTGGAAACAACTGAGTTTCTTAGTAAGTAAAGTAAGGATGTTGTAATAGCACATCTGTTAAGGTCCAAAAAGGTTTTGCTTTGCTATAAATGTTATAACGGAATAGTAGCAAACTTGAAACCATAATCAAAGTCTTCATGCTGAATTTTTTATTGCTCTTTGTCGTTCTTACAACAGCTGCCTTGGAAAATTAGAAATTCTGTCCCACTTACCTGGAATTAAGTCAGTAATTCCAAACTACTGGAATCCGCATGGGGATTTGGAGTTGACTTAAATTCATGGTTTGAATTTAGACTTAGGGATCTTGAAACTCTTCAGTCATTATTAGATAGGGATGGTTTCAGATAAGGCAGCAATGTTTGGGATGGAAAGATAAAAATTATTATTATTTATTTTTTTACAGTTTTTGGCTGGGGCCGGGTTTGAACCCTCCACCTCCAGTATATGGGGCCGGTGCCCTACTCCTTTGAGCTACAGGTGCCGCCAGATAAAAATTCTTTAGATTGCTGTTAGCTAAAGTACTTTTGGTGAGTTTCCATTTGCTACTTTGTTAGCACTGGAGTGATGTGGAAAATATCCATAGCTGGATAGGAACATGGAGTGAAAACTCTTGGTTTTAAGTCTGGTACTTCTTTTCTGTGCTTCTGTTTCTTCAGACAGACTCTAAATCTCACCTTCATTATTTCAAATATAAAGATAATATACCTCTCCCACTGTTAGCATTTTGTGAATTAGTTGAATCATTTGTAAACTCACTTTCTACACTGGTGTTCAGGTATCTATTGATTTGTTTTCTTAGTGTAATATTAACACATTTCCTTTACTCCTTTCTCCCTTAGCAACACATCTTCCCTATAACCACTGCCATCAGCATAGCTGATGAGAATACATAGCTGTGATAATTGGCTACTTCTCATTGGCCAGGCTTTAGACCAAGAGCCCTGCATGATTACTAAATACATTTAGTGCAACTTATATAAGTCATTCTAATCTAAATCTTAAACATGTATAGAATCAAGAATTATCTTACATGAGATGCAGTTTTTTTTTCAAAGATGGGAAAATGTTTAGCTTGAACTGGTTAATTTTTTTTGTTGATTAAAAACATGTCACCTGGGTGGCTCCTGTGGCTCAGTGGATGGGGTGCCGGTCTCATATACCAAGGGTGGTGGGTTCAAACCTGGCCCTGGCTGAACTGCAACAAAAGAATAGCCGTGCGTTGTGGTGGGCACCTGTGGTCCCAGCTACTCTGGAGGCTGAGGCAAGAGAATCACCTAAGCCCAGGAGTTGGAGGTTGCTGTGAGCAGTGTGACGCCACGGCACTCTACCGAGGGCAATAAAGTGAGACTCTGTCTCTACAAAACAAAAAAATCAACCCTCAACATTAACCTGAAATTTAAAAAAAAAGTTACAAATATAAAAAATATGTCACTTTACTTGATGTGTCCATTTAGGGAATCCTGGAAGAGCAATCCTGCCATCAAACTTGTTTTCTCATGGACTTTGCAACAAGTTACTCGACCCTGGCTGACCCATCATCTGGAAAGGATACTTCCCCCTTCATTGCTTATCTCAGATGATTATCAGACTGAGAACAAAATCCTGGGTGTGCACTGCCTCCATCACATTGTCCTCAATGTAGTAAGTAGCCTCTGCTGTCATCTGCACTGCTAGGACAGACTGAGTCATTCATAGCTGTTCGTCATGCATGATATCACTGTTTCTTTCTTTTTTTTTAGAGACAGAGTCTTACTTTATCACCCTTGGTAGAGTGCTGTGGCGTCATAGATGTTCGTCATGCATGATATCACTGTTTCTTTCTTTTTTTTTAGAGACAGAGTCTCACTTTATCACCCTTGGTAGAGTGCTGTGGCGTCACAGCTCACAGCAACCTCTAGCTTTTGAGCTTAGGCGATTCTCTTGCCTCAGCCTCCCAAGTAGCTGGGACTACAGGTGCCAGCCACAATGCCCGGCTATTTTTTTGTTACCGTTTGGCCAGGGCGGGGTTCAAACCCGCCACCCGTCGTATATGAGGCTGGCGCCCTACTCACTGAGCCGCAGGCGGTGCCCCACTGTTTCATTTTTGCTTACATATTTTAACTGCTTTCTATTAATGGTGTCATTAAGTTTACTTATCTCTAATTTTTCTTCTTATATATATTTTTTTTCTTCAACCTGGTATTGTATCTCATAGATAATATAATAACTGGAAGGACAATTATAGAAGAAATTATCAAACTAAATAACTAGACTTTGAGTGATTAAGGGTTGTCTTTAAAGAACAATAACAGATACAAGAACAACAACAAAAACACTGAAGAAAATCAGAACCTAAAATGGATTATATCCAAATATGCAAACTATTAGTAAAGGAAACTTTAAGGCTTATGTCTATAATCAGGCGTCCTCAAACTATGGCCTGCAGGCCACATGTGGCCCGCCTAGGACATTTATCCAGGCTGCCGAGTGTTTTTGCTGCCACTGCCTGTCCTGCTTAGCAGCTGACTTGTCCCAGGGTCCATAGTCTGGCCCTCCAATGGTCTGAGGGACAGTGAACTGGCCCCCTGTTTAAAAAGTTTGAGGACCCTTGCCTATAATCCTAGCATTCTGGGAGGCTAAGTGGGGAGGATCCTTTAAGCTCAGCAGTTCAAGATCAGCTTGAGTAGAGTGAGACCTTATCTCTACTAAACCATCTCTACTAAAAACAGACAATTTAGCTGGGCAGGAGCCTGTGGTCCTGCCTACTGCTTGGAGGCTGAGGTAAGAGAGTCACGTAAACCCAGGAGTTTGCGTTTGTGTGAGCTAGACTCATGCCATCATGGCATTCTAGCCTGGGCAAGAGAGTGAGACTCTGTCTTAAAAAAAAGAAACCTTTGTATTATGGGGCCTTTAAGAAATGTATACACAGAAGTAGAGAGAGTGGCATAACGAACCTTCATGCACCCACAATCCAGTGTCAAAGATAATCAATAATTTTGCCACTCTTGAGAAACTTTTCTTTTAATCAGATCATTTGCCTAATTCCAGCCAGCTGCTGATTTGCTCCAGTATAACAGAGTCCAGGTCCTGTACCATGCCATTTTCAACCACCTCTACACCCCAGAGCACGATCTCATTCAGGTACTTGTATTATGTGATCATAAGTGTCTCTGAGTTCTGTATGATTTGAGTAGAAGATGGCGCTATGTGAGTAGGAATAGCAGAGGGACATTTTCTTCTCTTGGAAAATGAGGATGATAATAAAAAGCCGTTGCCAAATTGAAAGTATCTCAACACCAAGCAGGCGTCTGCACTCCTGAATCTCCACAAATGAGCCTGTGTTCTGTCTTTATCTGGGTCAGCTATGTATCACTTTGGAGGCAGAACGTTGATTTAAATGTTCTCCCATCTGTGCTGCTTTATGTCAACACACACCCTCGAAACTCCGTGTATGTTAGATATTTTAGAGTCATTTATTGTGTGTGCCAGAAACCATTGTAGGTCCCAAGAGTAAATGAATCAGACAGTTTCTGGCTTTAAGATAACCTTTGGAGAGACATTTTCTGTAAATACATGAATACGTATTCACATATCTACATGTAGCTACAGTATAGAGTGACAGCTGTATTAGAAAAGGTTTACATAAAATGCAGTATGCAGGCTCAGTGCCTGTGGCTCAAGCAGCTAAGGCACCAGCAACATACACCTGAGCTGGTGGGTTCGAATCCAGCCCGGGCCCACCAAACAATGATGGCTGCAGCCAAAAACTAGCAGGGCATTGTGGCAGGTGCGTGTAGTCCCAGCTACTTGGGAGGCAGAGGCAAGAGAATCACTTGAGCCCAGAAGTTGGAGGTTGCTGTGAGCTGTGATGCCATGGCACTCTATCCAGGATGACAGCTTGAGGCTCTGTCTCAAAAAAAAAAAAAAATAATAATAATAAAATGCAGTATGCAGCAATAGGCAACAAACCAGGTATGGGGTGGCTTTACGAGGCTTTGGGAAGGTGATGATAATTGCTTTTAAGAAGGATGAAACAATTTCTTAGGGGTCAGTACATTAGAAGAGGTAAGAAAGAAGTTAATGGCTCCATGCCTGTAGCTCAGCGGCCAGGGTGCCAGCCATCCACACAGGGCTGGTGGGTTTGAACCTGGCCCAGGCCTGCCAAACAACAATGACAACTACAACAAAAAAATACCCAGGTGTTGTGGCGGACACCTGTAGTCCCAGCTACTTGGGAAGCTGAGGCAAGAGAATCGCTTAAGGCTCGGCGCCTATAGCTCAACCGGCTAAGGCACCAGCCACGTACACCTAAGGTGGCGGGTTCAAATCTTCAGCCCAGACCCACCAAACAACAATGATGGCTGCAACCAAAAAAAAAAAACAGCCAGGCGTTGTGGCAGGCGCCTGTGGTCCCAGCTACTTGGGAGGCAGAGGCAGGAGACTCGCTTGAGCCCAGGAGTTGGAGGTTGCTGTGAGCTGTAATGCCACGGCACTCTGCCCAGGGGGACAGCTTGAGGCTCTGTCTAAAAAAAAAAAAAAAAGAGAGAGAATGGCTTAAGACCAACAGTTTGAGGTTGCTGTGAGCTGTGACGCCACAGCACTCTACCAAAGGCGACATAGTGAGACTCTGTCTAAAAAAAAGAGAGAGAAAGAAGTTAATTATATAAAGTCAGAGGTAGAAGCAACCGTTGTTTCTTTTTTATGCCTTTTCTTCTTCCTCCCCTGCCACTCTGCCACTCTGCTGCCTTTTTCTTTTCTCTCTTTTTCTTTTTCTTGATAGGCTCTTACTGTGTTGTTGCTCAGCCTGGTCAGTCTCAACCTCTGTTTTTTAAATCACAGAAACTTTTATTGGAAACAAATGAGCTGCAGCAAAGTGACACTCAGTGCACGCAGTCAACAGGCAAGGGGGAGGTTACAGGTGGGCGCCAGGGGCTGGCCTTAGATCAGAGGGAGTGACCACTGGGGCCTGCTTTTGGGGCCTCAGGCTACAGACCCTTTGGGGTGGAGTGTGCATACCCAGTACAAAATATAAAAATAAACTCTGTGTCCAGCTGTCCCTGCCTGTGGCAGTTCATTTGGGCAGGCAGTTGCTCTTCCCACCAGGCCCCATGCTGTCCATCTAGTCCAGCCACAGCAGTGGTAACCTGTGGGGGTCAGTCTCAATCTCTTGGTCTCCAGCAATCCTCCTACCTTGGCCTCTCAAAGTGCTGGGATTATAGGCATGAGATACCTATATCCTGGCCTCTTTTTCTTTGTAAATAGAATTTTGGTTATTGACAATCAGGGTACCAACAGCCAAAAATGTTAAGGCTTTTAAACTGATAAGAACAGATAATATACTCGATCTTAGCCAAAAGGCCGAGAAGTGACGTTAAGGCTCTTAAGATGATCGACAAGACATTTTAAACAACACAAAATACCAAGAGAAAAACTAGAGATTAGGGGTTGAGCATGGTGGCTCACACCTATAATCCTAGGACACTGAACGGCCAAGGTGGGTGGATTTCCTGAGCTCAGGAGTTCAAGACCAGCCTGAGTTAGAGTGAGACCCTGCCTCCAAAAATAGCTGGGCATTGTGGCAGGAACCTGCAGTCCCAGCTACTTAGGATGCTGAGGCAAGAGAATCACTTGGGTCCAAGAGTTGGAGGTTGCTGTGAGTTATGAGGTCACCATACTCTATTGAGGGCAACAAAGTATAAGACTCTCAAAAAAATCAAAAAACAAAAACAAACAGACCAAAAAAAAACCATGGGTGGTGCTGTGGCTCAAGGAGTAGGACCCTGGCCCCATATGCCAGAGGTGGAGGGTTCAGACCTGGCCCTGGCCAAAAACTGCAAAAAGAACCCCCAAAAAACCCAGAGATCCCAAAGAGCTTAAAAAGGAGCCTAGACCCTGAAACTTCAGACACGGTGATCAAATTTAAGACAAATATGAACAATCTGAGACTCTTATTAGGATCAAATTTATTGATAGTACATGCAAATATCATGTATCAGTAAGTCAGACTTAGTGACAGTAGACTTAGATTCCTAAAATCTGGGTTAAAGTCCCACCCAGTCCTGCCATTCTTCCCATTTTTCCAATTAACAAAGAACAGTTCTGAGGAGCAAGTATGTGTATTAACATGAGACTGTCAGATGGAAAGAATGTAAAGAGTTTGAAAAAATAAAAGCACTTAATATATTATTACTAGTGAATTACTACTTGATAAAAGCACTTAATATATTATTACTAGTGAATTACTACTTATCTGTGACATGGACCCTAACAACAGTAGATTAAGTTTCTAGAAAAATCGGCAAGTGCTGTGGTGAAAATTATGAGCTAGTTTTCTTCCATTCCTTCCTCTGAGGTTGTGCTCCTGTGTCTGCTGGATTTATTCCCCATCCTGGAGAAGGCCCAGCAGTGGAAGGGAGATGGAGCTCGGCCCACCACACACTGTGACGAGGTGCTGCAGCTGATCCTGACCCACATGGAGCCTGAGCACCGCCTTCTCTTACGCAGGACCTATGCGAGACACCTACCAGCTTTCGTGAAGCGGTGAGTCCCTGGGCTGCTGGTCCGGCCGTCCTCCCAGCTTCAGCTCTTTGGCGTCACATTTTCTCTTTTGTCTTTAGGTTGGGGATCCTAACTGTCCGGCACTTGAGGAGGCTAGAGCGAGTCATCATTGGTTATCTGGAGGTTTATGATGGACCAGAAGAGGAGGCTAGATTGAAGATATTGGAAACCCTAAAACTTGTTATGCAACATACCTGGCCAAGGTATAGCAGCCAAACTGACAGGTCTGATAAAAGGAGTAAAACTTAGCCAGTTTTTCTGTTCAGAACTTGCCCAGATGCACATTTAGTACAAAATATTATATTTGTTTTTTTTTTCTTTTTGAGACATAGTTTCACTTTGTCACCCCTGGTAGAGTACTGTGGAGTCAGCTCACAGCAACCTAAACTTCTGGGCTCAATTGATTATCTTACCTCAGCCTCCCAAGTAGCTGGGACTATAGGCACCTGCCACAATACCCAGCTATTTTTTTTTTTTTTTTGAGACAGAGCCTCAAGCTGTTGCCCTGGGTAGAGTGCTGTGGCATCACAGCTCACAGCAACCTGGGCTCAAGTGATTCTCCTGCCTCCACCTCCCAAGTAGCTGGGACTACAGGTGCCTGCCACAATGCCTGGCTATTTTTTGGTTGCAGCCATCATTGTTGTTTGGTGGGCCCAGGCTGGATTTGAACCCGCCAGCTCAGGTGTATGTGGCTGGCACCTTAGCTGCTTGAGCCACAGGCGCCAAGCCAACGCCCAGCTATTTTTAGAGATGGGATCTCACTTTGGCTCAGGCTGGTCTTGAACATGTGAGCTCAGGCAATTCACCCACCTCGGCCTCCCAAGTGCTAGGATTACAGGTGTGAGCCACCATGTCTGGCCCCTCAAAGTATTATTATTTTTTTTTTTAGAGACAGAGTCTCACTTTGTTGCCCTCGGTAGAGTACCCTGGCATCACAGCTCACAGCAACCTCCAGCTCTTGGGCTTTAGGCGATTCTCTTTCCTCAGCTTCCCAAGTAGCTGGGACTACAGGCACCCGCCATAACACCCGGCTATTTTTTTGTTGTGGTTCGGCCGGGGCCGGGTTTGAACCTGCCACCCTCTGTATATGGGGCCAGTGCCTTACTCACTGAGCCACAGGCACCACCCAAAGTATTATTTTGAATACCTCCCATTTTCACACACTTATAGGAGTTTGAACTGAGAACGTGACATTAGAAAGATAAAGTAGATCTCCAGTAACTTCAGGTACATATTTGACCCTTTCACCAGACATCAGTTCCAGATTCTACCACTATTAAATAACTTCTTTTAAACTCAACTATATTGGGCCAGGTGTGGTGGCTCACGTCTGTAATCCTAGCACTCTGGGTGGCCGAGGTGGGTGGATTGCTTCAGCTCACAGGCTAGAGACCAGCCTGAGCAAGAATGAGACCCCAGGCATTGTGGTGGATGCCTGTTGTTCCAGCTACTTGGGAGGCTGAGACAAGAGAATCACTTGGGCCCAAGAGTTTGAGGTTGCTGTGAGCTGTGATGCCCGCACTTGACCCAGGGCAACAAAGTGAGACTCTGTCTCAAAAATAAATAAATAAATAAATAAATACTCAATTATATCTTCAGAATGGCTTAGATTGGTATTCTGAAGAATACCCACCCAGGGGCTCTTTGTACATCTCTCCAGATTTATAATGCATACAAGAATGTTAAGGGCATTTAGAAGTGCTACAGTCAAAGCACACTTTGTTCATCGTAATATTCGTTAAATGTAGTTGAGAGTAGACTACTTCCTAGCACATCATTTGCCATCTCCAGGGCAGTGATTAGAATGTTAAGTTAGGATTTGCTTGCTTTGAAAGCATTCCAACTGTGGCTTGAGGGTAGGTGTCAGGAATAAATTGGAACCCAAGCTGATGAGTCAGCAAAAGGCTTTCTTGCATAACTGAAAATTTAATTCAGCCAGAGAATCCAGTGGCCCAACAACATATTTATTCTGGACCATGTTCTCTCACTTCCTTGTAAATGTACAAGGAATCCAGACTAACTTTCCCCCATGACAGTCTTTCTGGCAGTCACATTTGTAACTAGATTGCATTTGAATACTTCACTACCTTCTCCCCTGCTGAACTATAAACTCGAGGAGAATGGAAGTCCACATCTGTGACATTCTCCTAATGTATACTCAGTATCTGTGATTAGGTGCACAAGTATTTGAAGAATGAATGAACGTGAACAGATGAATGAAAAGATCAATCAGATGAATTGTGTCAGATCTTTCAAGATTCCAAGAAGAGAATGGTAAACAAATATAAGGAGATTTAAAAAAGAAATGTGTTGTCTATGGTTGAGGGAAGAATGCAGGGAAAGGCTGAATATTTTTATTTTTTCTGAGACCTAGTCTCACTCTGTTGCTCTGGGTAGAGTGCCATGGCATCAGAGCTCACAGCGTCCTCAAAGTCTTGGGCTTAAGTGAACTTCTTGCCTCAGGCTCCCTAGTAGCTGGGACTATACAACACCCAGCTAGTTTTTCTATTTTTAGTAGAAATGGGGTCTCACTCTTACCTAGACTGGTCTCAAACTCCTGATCCATCTACCTTGGCCTCCCAGAGTGCCAGGAGTATAGGCATAAACCACCTTGCTTGGCAAGGTTGAATTTTTTTTTTTTTTTTGAGATAAGAGTTTCACTGTGTCACCCTCAGTAGAGAGCTGTGGCATCACAGCTCACAGCAATCTCAAACTCCTGAGCTTAAGTGATTCTCTTGCCTCAGCCCAGTCTCCCCAGTACCTGGGACTATAGGCACCCACCACAATGCCCGGCTATTTTTTGGTTGAAGTTGTCATTGTTGTTTAACAGGCCCAGACCGAACTCAAACCCACCAGCTTTGGTGTATGTGGCTGGCACCTTACTCACTGAGCTACAGGTGCCGACCCAGGTTGAATATTTTTTAGATGAAGGGATAAAAACATTTTTCTCTCAATCACATGTCTGTTAATAACTATTATTTATTGTGTATGTTTTCATGTTACAAGTTTATTTTTCAGCTTTTATTATACGTAAAATTTAAATTTTACCATTTTCATATAAAAAGGTAAACTTTATAAAATACATAAAATTTACCACTTTTAAGTGTACAGTTTATTTATTTTGAGACAGAGTTTCACTTTCTCAGCCTCAGACTGCTGTGGTGTCACAGCTCACAGCAACCTCCAACTCCTGGGCTAGGGCAATTCTCTTGTCTCAGCCTCCCAAGCTTCTGGACTACAGGTGCCTGCCACAATGTCTGGCTACTTTTTTGTTGTAGTTTGGCCAGGGCTGGGTTTGAACCCACCACCCTCAGTATATAGGGCCGGCACCCTACTCACTGAGCCACAGGCGCCGCCCTAAGTATACAGTTTAGTGGCATGAAATACAATCACAATATTGTGCAATCATCACCACTATTTATTTTCAGAACTTCCTCAAAGGGCTAAAAACTTTTAGAAAGGTTAATAATTGGAAGTAAATAAGTTGGACTTAACTGATGGTAAGCTAGGATCTGAAACAGAAGCCTCCCTTATTTTTAACTTCTAGGCCTAAGACAGCATAAAAGTTGAAAGTTTGTGGACTCTCTCTCCTCTGGCCAAAAGTACAGGTCTTTGGTAAGGGAAGATCCTGGTTTCCCCTTCTCTGCCCATGAGTGGACCGTTTCCTTATAGTAGAATGGCACTTCTGGGAGGAAGGAAGTTATTCTCAGGCTAGAGTACGGGTGTGTACACAGAAGTACGCTAACGGGCGTGTAGAGGTGGAGCCTCTTGTTTCCAGCTCTGCAGTCTTTACATCATTTAACTTTGGTTTTAGCTCCTTCCTCTGTGAGATGAGGGCTTTTCACTAGCCAGCCTTTTAAAGTCTCTTGCAAATTTAATATCCTGACTTTAGTTTTTCTTCTTGATTCCAGAGTTTCCTGCAGACTTGTGGTCCTACTGAAAGCTCTCTTGAAACTGCTATGTGATGTAGCGAGGGATCCAAACCTGACACCTGAGCCTGTTAAGAGCGCCCTGCTGCAGGAGGCCACAGACTGCCTGATTGTCCTGGACCACTGCTCTCAAGGACAGGTGAAGGTAAGGCACAGCCTGCAACTCAGGCTGCGTTTGGCCCTCTTTATCCTTAGGCAATTCCTATAATTTATTATTAATGTGGCTGACCAAGTCTGGAAATGAACATGCAGAGTTTTAGGTTTCCATCTGAGACTTTACCCTTCAGTAGAGTTTGAGCAATACATTATTTATCTTTTAAAGTTATTCAGCATTGTTTAAACCAAAAGGCAAGAGGATCAGCAGACATCACTGGGGTGAAGGATGAAAGAGAGAGGGCAAAAGCCTCATGATCAAGAATGTGGGCTGGGCATGACGGCATGTGCCTGTAGTCCCAGCTACTTAGGAGACTGAGGTGGGAGGATCACTTGAGCCCAAGGAGCTTGAGGATATAGGGACTTACGATGACATTACTGTGCTCTAGCCAGGGAGGTAACTCTCTCAAAAAATAAAACAGTTTGTGAATTTAAGTTCTGTTCTAGTCTTCTGAATTTAAAAAAGAAAAAATTTATGAGCCCCAAAGAGTAATAATAGGAACAGTAATTCAGATATCATGTTTCCAATTTTGGCGGTAGAGGCAGCTATCTCTTTGGTACATCTTTTTTTTTTTTTTTAAGAGAGACAGAGTCTCACTTTGTCGCCCTTGGTAGACTGCTGTGGCGTCACAGCTCACAGCAACCTGCAGCTCTTGGGCTCAGATGATCCTCCTGCCTCAGTCTCCCGAGTAGCTGCGACCGCAGGTGCCCGCCACAACGCCCAGCTATTTTTCGCTGCAGTTTGGCCGGGCCGGGTTTGAACAGAGTCCTTGGCCGCAGACTCTGTCTCCTGCTCACACTCTAGCTCTATGTAGGCTCGTTTTCTTCCTAAGGGTCCTTCAAGGGTGTTTCGCCTACTCACTGAGCCACAGGCGCCGCCCTCTTTGGTAGATCTTTTTCAGTATTATTCATGATCCACACAGAAATTCTTCCTTTGGTTTCTCATTCCACAAAAGTTAACTTCTCAAAGCCATAGCATCTGATAGTTGTATGCATATTTATATATGTATTTATAATAAACCATTGCCTCACTTCTTATCCCATTTAGAAATCCTCAATTGAAAGATTTAAGGTAACATGAAAAGAAGTTCATATCCTAAAAATGTTTAAAGATAGTATGGCATTCCAACTATGTTATCTTAGCTCCCTAATCAAACCTGATTTGCCTTGTCTGGAATTAAGGTGTTTCTTCACGAGTCAGCAGAACACATGCAGGCACATTAATACAGTTTTTAAAGTGATAACTAAACTATGTAGTGAACTGCCCCCTGGTGTCATTCACTCTCTCTCTCAGTATTATACCAAGAAAGAAGAATCAAGGCAGCAGGGGAAAAGAATAATTAAAGAAACCGCAAAGCCTATCTGTTTCATGTTTCAGGGTCTCCTGGCCAACGCTGTCCAAAGCTGTGAAGACAGCAAGGTGGTGAAGTGTCTCAGAGAAGTGCAGCAGGCTTCTGAAGGCACTCCCTTCGATGGAACTTAAGATTTGTATTACTTTCCCAATGGGAAAAAGATCCTTCTGAATTATTTAAGGAAAAAAGGTATTTTTACACTAAACATCTTTAAGTTAGAAGTGCTTTTTCCTTCTTTCTCTTTTTACCCCCATAAGAGTAGGGAAAGGTGAACAAGAAAA